TCACATATAAATTAATGTTTTGCAAATTTCAACTGATTAATGCAATAATCGGAATGTTCTCCAGTTCGCGAATATCTTTGTAACGTAACGCTTGAAATCAATCCCCGAGAACTCGATCCCGGCTCAATCCAATTAACCCTGACCTCAACGGGCCAGATCGAGACATACGAGGGGAATAGACCCGATCAAGAATTTGAAACTTATACACTTGACGTGAATCCGAGTGATGCTGGCCACGAACGCTAGCGCCAACTTTCCCACGGGGAAGTTACGTGTTAAGATCTTTGGACCGCAGACCGCGATATCTCGCATGCAGAATTACTCGGGGCGGACAGAGGGAGGCAAGCTCCAATTTTCATGTGCTAATGCGGAATCCGTTTTCCATCTACTCACTCGATAACGTTATATGTCGTTTAACGTCTCTAACACCATCGACGCATGTCGAGACGCGAATGTTAATTATTTCGGTGGTTTCTCCCTCGGAGTTTCCTAATCACTTACGGAGCCCGATTAAGCATTGTGCTTAACAGGTGACCCAACCGCAGGACGCGTTCCATCGCGGAACATTGGGGAAGTTATGCATCCGGCGGGCTCGCCGAGAGTTGCCGTAAAGTTACCAACTAAAGCATCCGATAAAACATATTTTATTGCAGAAATATATATAAATATATATATTGTGTATGTATATATATATATATATATATATATATATATATACAGAGAGAATAATAATATAAAATATACATTTTAATATTCTAGAAATGTCTTAATTTTCTAGCAAATTTTAATTTCAAAAATAGATTTTTCTAGCATATGATATTTAACCAAATTAAAATTGATTAAAATTGACAATTGCAATCTAATTACAGTTATCAATTTTATATACGTATATATGTATATGTATATATGTATATATATATATATATATATATATACACATATATAAAATTGATAACTGTAATTAGATTGTAATTGTCAATTTTAATCAATTTTCATTGAGTTAAATATATGCTAGAAAAATCTATTTTTGAAATTAAAATTTTTTAGAAAATTAAGACATTTCTAGAATATTAAAATGTATATTTTATATTATTATTCTTCTTCTTCTCTCTCTCTCTCTCTCTCTCTCTCTCTCTCTCTCTCTCTTTCTTCGCAAATCTAAATTTATCCGCTGTAGTCCTATTTCTTGCATAGCACGACAGCGAAATAGGTCACTAGTGGCAGCGCAGTTGCAGAGTTACGTCATCACCGAATTGATTTGCACCCAATATTTTTATACAACCTGCCCTACCGTTTCATCACCGTGGCGCACACATACGCGCCACGCGGATTGATATATCACGGTACGCGAGAGTCGTTGGCTGAGGTCGAAATTTTACTGGCAAAGTTTGAAAAATCTGACAGGACCGCGACGATGGCAGCCGCGGTCGCTTGTTCACGATGTTCGCGATGTTGATTGCCGATGGTACTGGCGTGTCCAATTCCGAGACATTATCACGTAGACTGAAAATGAGAATCGCATGGCACGTTGTATCAACCATAATTTAATAGACCGTATTATGCAGGAATCATGTGCGCTAATGGTCACCGCAGCGCGCGACGCTATGTGGTTAATTAAATTTTATTATATATAATATTACATAATATATATTATACGTAATATTATGTATAATAAAATATTATTTATAATATTATATATAATATGTATATATACATGTATGTATGTGTATTATACAGAGCGACACACACAAAGTATACATTTCGGCTTTATATGGAGGTTTTGCGAGGAATTCGCACCCCGCGGTTCCGAGTGAAATATTAAATCGAGCTCGTGAATTTCACTCGTACGATTCTATCTCAGAGTGCGAACGACTAACCCACGTAATTAATTCATTGCTCGGCCGTTACGCTTTACGTACCTTCACAGCGCACTCCATTAAGATTTAAAATGTTATACGAGAGGTAAAACGCCACGGAATAATACGTGTCCATCATTCCTATGAACTTTCCAACGCGTTGTACGTCCTCGTAGCACATATCATCGTATATAATTGCGGGCTAATTTACAGCGTTAATGGCAAGACGAAAAAGGTAATACAATTGCAAATGTTTTACTTCACAGAGATATGTATATGTGTCTGTATACAAGAATAATACAATATTAAACCAGAGAAAAATAAATTTTAAATACACATTGTCTCATTATTTCGTCCATAGGTGGGAAAATCTTTTTCAACCTCTCCTTCATAAACCAACTATTTTTAGCAAAAAAATCCAAGATATTGCAATATCGTAGAGAATATTGATGTCTTAAAAAAACATTATCATCACGACCGCACATTACTCGCGTTCGTTCACGGAAATTACCCCCTGGGTTCGAGAACATTGCCGGTGGTGCAAAACGGCGCCGGTGGGTATGATTTAGATAGGATAGCGGGACCATTCTTTCGGAGGGATAATCCGGCGGGTTCGTCCGGCGGTTCATTCATTATGCACGGCCATTTATAATGCACGTAGAAACGATGCATGCAGGTATAATTACAACTCCAACTCCGTGCCGCGCACCCCGTACGACAAACCAACTATATATCCCCATACCTTCTCTTTCGAGTAAACCGACATTCTTTCCTAGTTGTCCAGCCACATTGCGAGAGAATCTTTTTTATACCTTGTCAGACAGTCGTTCTAACTACATTTGCAGATCGCGCTAACGCTAATCGTTCGCTTTATCTCGATGTGTTTTATCGGATGGTGATTGTGATAATAATTTAATTATAATGCTTCAGAAAATTTACAGTCAGTTGGAAAACATCTTTTGTAAAAAATGTGAGAAAGAATATTGTAAATATTAAATGTCAATTAAAGTGACACTTAAATAATATCGATCACATTCATCTCATTGTTTATATATCTTACAATCAGAGATAAAATTATATCTCTATAATATATAAAATCTAATCATTGTATATACTGCATTTTTTCATACATTTTTCTACGTTATCTTTATGTTTGAAGTGTTTTTAAAAGTATGACAAAATTTGATATAAAATTTGATATAAAATATGATATTTCTTATCTTTATATTCTTATGTAATATACAAATGATCAGCATAATTGTACTTCATTAAACGTTATTGAGTAATTTATAAGCGCACATAAAATAGTACAGTTTTATTCCGTTAAGTGCACATCTTATCGATCATAATAAACTATGATGGAAACTTATATTCTCAATATACTGTCGGAGCAAGATGTTTTCGATTACCGATCGTCTGCTCTTTCGAATGCGTTTCTACCTACTTGCAAAGCAAGACGCGCAAGCTCCGTAAAAGCGACGAGAATAGCAAAGAGGAAAGCGAAGGATAGGAAACGATGGGAAATCCAAATTGCCGCACAAAGCTCTCGCGCAGGTTCCCGGTAATCCTCGCGCCTCCAAGTACTTCGGCACGATCGCAAAAGCCAATTATGTGGCTGACGTAGGTACAGATGTGGCTTTAAAACGACAGGAAGAAAGACAGGAAGGAAGGGATGAATACATAGGGAAAATACATTTCGACGGAGCGCGCAATTATTCGATTAACGCTAATTCAAATTATGCTACCTCGTTAATCAAAATCGCTAATTGTTAATTATCACGCGTCAATCTCGCATACGACATAGTACAGATGCGTCGCAGCATTGTATCATTGAATGATTCTGTTTATGATAAAAATCATAACAAATCTTAAGCCAAGTAGATTGAAATTATAAAATTTCTAGATTTCAAAAATCTGCTTTTAAGCATTTATATTTCATTTCATGGTGCATTATCAGAGATTCATTTTTATATTTTAAAATGTCATCTCTATCAAAATACGCACTTACGATCGCCATCGAAACGTAACAATTTCATTTTGAGAAAAAAATATCTTTTCGTGCTTCCGCGATATTTCGATGTGAAGAGACAGCAAGATGCATGTCCTCAATGGGATACGTTCTCGTTTCTCGATCTTGTCGCGTACATTTGCGGTCGACTTTCGTCGCTGATAAATGGCGACTAGCGAAAGTGTGAAAATTGCATACGTCGTTGTAACATGGTTGTCCCCAGTGAGCTGTAATCGCCTTGGACGTGCGCACGATGCTCGTGGGCAAAGAAGCGGAGAAAGAATACGCGGGTAGTTGAAGGAGAAAGTAGCCGTTACAGTACGGATGTCCACAGAGTATGTCGGAGAATCCTCTCAGGATGGGCCTCGTTAGTCCTACCGTGGCAGACTTACGACACCCAGAACTCGTTTCACCTCGGCTATCTATTATGGCTTCGGAGCGAGATATACCAGCGAGGCAAGGATGGTAGTTCCCTTCCGTTCAAATTACACTGATAGTCTTCTCTTTTAACTAGAATCAGTTCGCAGTCCTTAGAAATGTACTTAGTCATGTGTTGCATCTCCTTAGAATGTAGAAGAATTTAGAATTTAAAAATCAAATTGCCCCGATAAACAATTAATCCAATTACATCTTCAAATCCCGTATCTCGTATTAGCTGGACCAAACTCCTATTTACAGACATTCTTTTATCGATCAATAAACAATGCATAAATTTATTTGAAAAAAACTATTGATAATATAATTTATGCGCTAAATGACATTTCAAATTCTCTACATGCAAAACTTTCTTTTCCATTTATGAAAATTTATATTAAATTATATTAAGTATTTATATTAATTTAGATAATTGATTTGAAAAAGCAGCTTTTGTAAAAAAATGGTGCACGCTAGATATGCTTGACGTTATTGTGGAAGATATACTTTTGATTATTGTCATCTTTTCAATATCGGAATGTCTCCGTTATCGTGCGTTTTTTAAAAAAGTGAGAGAGAGAGAGAGAGACAAAAAGAGAGAATGGCACATAAGATGGCTGATGGCGTACACGCATTCAGCGCGAATAACAGGGGAATCCGGAGGTGAATTCGAGCGCGAGAAAAGGAGGTGGAGGAGATGGCCTGCCGCGTTGGAACTTTGATTTATATGTTAATCGCTAGACAGCAGTCGTTGCCGATGTCGGCAAGTGTGCAGTCTGGTACGTACGGCACTCTTTTGCCCCTCGTAACAATCCTCGAAATATCCCGTATAAGTAGACATCTGCCATATTTCAAGGCAATATTGGTAGGTACAATAGAAAATCCGAATTTTAATTATTAATCAATTTTCAAAGAAACTATCAGGAGTGCGAATTTAATTCAGTATGTGTATAAAACTAATATATAATGAATGTATAAAGAAATAATTATAAAAATAATATATTTTTAATACATGAAAATAACTTTGAATATATCTCAGCAAAAGAATAGTAAGAAAATACATATTCTTTTTTATTTTAAAAATATGTATATATGTAATTTAAAAAAAATTAACAAATATATATTTTTGAATAAAATAATTCCTACTCGACAATTAAAGCTTAAATTTTATGTTTTCCTACATATTTGCATTTAGGAAAACCGGGTTTATCGATATAATATCAGAATTCATATTATTTCGATAGATAAACCATATATAAGACGATTAATTAATAACCGATAGATCAAAATTGTCTACCGAGCAGAAGATAAATGAATACGAAAATGATTCATTTCCGGCTCAATGAACCTATGGAACTATTAGAATTTCATTAATCAATGTATTGAAAATCGCTACAATCCATACGTTCAAATTCCAAATACCTGTTGAAATAGATATAAAAGATATTATAGAAGGTTTTTAATTAAAATTGCGAATTTCCAGTCATTAATTAATTGTAAACCAATAATATGCATAAACTTTTGATTATGAGAATTGGAGTGATTTGTTTTAATAGAGCTTTTATCTTTTTAATTTTTAATTAATATTCGAAGAAATCTCAAATAAATGATACAAATAAGTGTACAAAATATGTGAATAAATACCTGTATATATATATATATATATATATATATATATATATATATATATATATAAGATAGTTGCTTTTTCTTTTGCTTTTTATTAGTTATCAGTTATCAAATAATAAATTAATAAAAAATTAAACTTTATATCATATAATTTACATATATTAATGTATTTTAATTTATATTTTATATATCTTATATGTGTATATATATATATATATACACACATATATAAAATATAAATTAAAATACATTAATATATGTAAATAAATTATATGATATAAAGCTTAATTTTTTATTAATTTATTATTTGATAATTAATAAAAAGCAAAAGAAAAAGCAATTATCTTATCGAGATGACTGCAATAATTTTTATCCGCTGCCTTTATGGCCTATATTTCATTTCGAGTTATGAAATTTTCTGATATATATCACAATTTTTGTAAGATAAAGATTTTATCAGAGCACGATCAGACACTTGTACAAATAATCAATCATTTAGATAGAGACATATATATATATATATATATATATATATATATATATGTGTATATATAAATGTTATCTGTCGCATTATACCACTCGGATTTCTCAAAAAAACGCACATTATAATTTATCGGAAAAAAACCGATGAATAAAATAATCTATGATTAAATATCGCGATAAAGATACGACTAACATGATTAAATGACGTTTGAAAAAGTACGTCAAAAATGATAAAAGATGAAATTTTTTGATTATTTTTTATTTTTGACATGATATAATTAAGTAAAGAAAAACGTATACAATTGTTCATGCGTAAAATAAAATAAAATAAAATAAATAGGATATATATATATCCTATTTATTTTATTTTATTTTATTTTACGCATGAACAGTTGTATACGTTTTTCATATATATATATATATATATATATATATATATATATATGTATATATTTTCTCTCTAAAGATATAAAATTATATATTTATTTAGAAAAATGTTTTTTTTTCGATTGAATTATTATTATATTAAAATGGCTGTGAATATAAGTATCTTTTTTTATCGGTATCATTGATTAGATTTTATAATAAGAATAATTTGTTATCATTCATTTCCTATATTACGTTTTTTTATATATTTGTTACACTATACGATACTCGAATGAAATAGGTTGCATCGTCAGGAGATAAGAGTTTTTCGTCTTGAGATGAGAAACTTGATTCCAATATAAAAGCCAGTCCGTGTACACGACATTAGTCTGTATACTTGTACAAAGTACAAGATGTTACGAAGTTTCGCTTCCTATCTCCTTTTCATTGGAGGTTTCGGTGAGTGAAAGAAATTGATAATTTTTATATTCATTATGTGTGATATATTTATAATATATTTTCTGATGTTGAGATTTATGTGTTTTATGTGATTGATGTGATTTATAAATTTATCTAATTTATTAAAGTTGGTATTTTCATATTTGTAAATGTGGATCTTTATATGTGCTTTAAGATAATTTACATGATAATAAGCTTGATGTAAATTAAAATTAATAATAACGCATATAAAATCAAATTAATATAGCAGAATTTGCTTAACCATATTTCCTATTATCCTTGCGGCGTTTTATTTTAGGAAGAAAAGTTCAAAGCTATAAAGCGCTGCACGTAATAAAGTTGATTGAATCCTTGCATGATTTATGTATTCGTCGCATTCTGGGGCTAACTTTTTTGCTGAAATGGCTGGAAGACAAATTCTATCATCAAATTTAATATTACAGCATCCTTCCTGCGACCGGCTTTCTTTCTTGACCCTAGGATCGTGGGAGGTAGGATAGTTGATATAATCCAGCATCCTTATCAATTGAGCCTCCATCGAAATTCAAGCCATTTTTGCGGAGCTACTATCATTAGTAATAAGTGGGTTATCTCTGCAGCTCATTGTGTAAGGTATATATTTCTTTCTCTCTTCTCTTAAATATGTATTGCGCATTATTTCATATCCTAAGACAAATTTAAATCTTTATAAAACATTTGGGATAACTTTATCTTTGGAAAGTCTCTTAATTATAATTTAATACTTCTTCAAGTGTCAAATATAATACCCCTTATCAAGACCGTATTTAGCTTTACTTAGTTCTTATAATTCATGGATTTAGACTGATAAAAAAATCAAATTGTAAACTGTAAACTATAACTATATTTACTATAATTGCTCGTAATGTCATTTATTGGAAGCTTTTAAATTTGTAAGAAATTTAGGGGCTTTCAAGTTAAGCTTTTAAATTTGTAAGAAATTTAGGGGCTTTCTTGTTCATAACGGATTAATCTTTAAGAAAATAAAAAAATCTCAAATAAAAAAAGACATTTTTAAGCTAACTTCATCAATTAATTTCATTTTCAATCACAAATTAAATATAATTTCTAATTATTTGCAAGCAAATTAAATATCACATTAAGTTTATTCCGATACATATTGCAAGTTCACAGTGCAAGTTAGAAAATTGTAGCCACGTTTGCGCGATCATCCGCCTCGCTATTACGAATGCGGTCAAGCATTTACCAATAAACGTTTTGTCGATATTGTCATAGCGTGTGGTTTGCACATAGTATAGCATAGTTATTGTCACAGTATTTATATGTATCGACGCGTGTTTCGTTTCGTTGCAGTTCGAATAGTAGCGTTTATGGAGTCGATGGAGGAAGTAACACCAGAGACAAGGGTGTCTATTATCCAGTTAAAAGGATCATTCGACATGAGGCTTACAATGACTTGACGATCGATTACGATATTGCTCTTCTTGAAGTACGTAATACTAAACTGTTTCTCGTCTCCTTTTCTTTTCTCCCTTTTCTAGATTTCTCTCTCTCTCTCTCTCTCTCTCTCTGTGTGTGTGTGTGTGTGTATCTTTCTCTCTTTGCTTACTAACGGCCTGCACCAGCTGACAATAACAACATCAGTAGCTCTCGCACGCTCTGGAAATTTCATTTCAGGTCGACGGCGAAATCAGATTTAACGATAAGATGCAGCCAGTGAAGCTGGCGGAAAAGGAACTCGCGAGTGGTGTTATAGTGAACGTTACAGGATGGGGTGCGGTGAAGGTGAGTTCACGGAGAATAGACTCATTATCTGAACGTTGCGGAAAACAGATGGTGCTAAGTAAACTTTCCCAATCGCTCGAGCGCGATTTAAAGATTTCATGAGAGCCATCACGAATTTCTTATGTTATCTCGTGTCAAATCGGAATCGTTGTATTCGATCGAGGTATTCGGTGTTGCGATACGCAAACAAAAGAAATCGATATTTACGATGATATTAAATCGTGTTACAAGTATATGAAAAATATCATATTACGCATGCAAGTATTATTAAACTATATTTATTCGTGAATTTTTTGTTCTGCAACTTATCGTGTGAAAATATATCTTTCGCATCCTTCACATGGTCAGTATCTGATTTGCAGAGATATGATTATTATATGTTATATATAATAATATACGACCATTTATAATCTTAATGAATCTATTAAAATAATAAGCATATTGAATGCAATTAATTGAAATAATAAAATTTGCGATTCATTTTAGTCGGGTGGAACAGGGTCATCTGTGTTAAGGGGAGTATCAATTCCAATCGTAGACAGAAAAACGTGTCAAGACAGATACAAATCAGGCAGGCACATCACCGACAGAATGATCTGTGCGGGCTACACGGAGGGTGGCAAAGATTCGTGTCAAGGTGATTCGGGCGGACCGCTCACCGCCAATGGCACGCTCTACGGAATCGTATCCTGGGGAAATGGATGCGCCCTGCCATTGTACCCTGGTGTTTACACCAACGTTGCAGATCTTCGCTGGTGGATAAAATTAAAAAGCGGTGTTTAATCTTTGCACATGTCTTGAGACTGCATATTATTAGTAATCTTTTGTTAGTAGTTTGCAAGTAGAAAATTGAGTTTGTATAATAAATGAGGAACATACAAAACAGTTGATAAGATTTTGATCATTAAAACAAAAATTTTATAAATAATATATATTTGCAAATTTAATATTTATAATTATTTTAATATTTATATTTATAATTATATATATAATTATTAAATAATTATATTTTGCAATGTATATATCTGAGATAAATATAAAAACAAATATAATATACATTAAAAACAAATACAAACACAAGATCAGATTAAACAGTTTCAATAAATTATCACATTAATTAATTTTAATTATAAAAAAAGATAAACAAACGATATTAAATACCGATATTATATGATCCAATAACAAGCTTTAACGTTTTAATTGTACGATCATAAAGACGAAAAGATAGTGCTAATTCTAAAATATAAAACATGTCTTACGTGATTATTCTCCTTTTATCTTCAGAAATTCAATTAGTTATCATGATCTTAACATAATTGTACCATTATAAACCAAGTGATAGAATATCATTCCTATATTATATTGTTGTAGTAGCGTATATACCATATAAGTTGATACACAAACATTATCTCGTAACGAATTTATGCTTTTAATGTGTAATCCTAAATTACTCGCGCGATGTTTTTTCACATTTTCATGATAACGCTTTGTAATGATTTCACACATAGATACGCGATACGTTTGTCTTCAGAAAGCAAGTTTTACGTTGGTGACAAAATCTTTTTATACGTAAATCGTTAGTTACACACATCACACGCATGAATGATCAGTGCAAGAAAATGTCCAAGATATTTTTCCTCTTTTTCTGCATCTTTTTGATACATAGTGAGTCAATACTTTTACGTATATTCGCATTTTCAGACCAAATTGTTTTCATATAAATTGTAATTATAGCCGTTAATACCGAAAGCCATCAATATGTGGACATCGAGGATTATCCATACCACGTGAGAGAAATTCATTTCTTTTTTTTACACGCAGTGGTTCGCAGTTTCATGCGTTCCGCTGACAAATAAAACTATACGCCATTCACATGTGGTTTTAATCGGTAGTCAGTACAGCGCAGTGACTGTAAGCCGCTATTATTTTCGAATAAATCGGATTTCAGATAGAATTCGTTATTTCAATATAGGTATCGATCCAAATATTTGGACGTCACATTTGCAGCGGCGCATTCATACACGAATCATGGATTATGACTGCGGCATCCTGCGTTTTCAGGTATGTGTTTTACTACATAATACATATGTAATAATATATTTAAATATATAATAAACGCATCGTATATTCTATGGAAAGTTTAAATAGAATGTGTCTTCTGGCAAATGATTTATCCGGACTATGTTAATTTCTTTTATATGGAAATGATTCCATTGAAACGAGCATTGTGCTATCTCTTCCAACCAATATGATATGTTTGTAATTACATTAAATTAATCTGATTTAACTATCTAAATATTTTGCATATTAATTTAAATATTTAATTTTATCTACAAACTTTCTTAACGTAAATTTTTCCATTTTTCCAAAACTTAATCTCACAGTTAATCGTCTTTTTTAATGTATTTCTGTTTTATATGCGTCTGCTGATATATCTTTTTTATGTACTTAAAGGGACTTTTTTTGTTTATTCTTTAATAAATAAATAAATAAATAAATGTATCAGGTATCATACAATAATCACGACTTTGATTTCATTGAAATTTTTTTTCTACGAGTTTATACGTGCCAATTTTTGTTAACAATAATCATTTTTTTTTTGTTATATATTTTTATAGTTAACCTCAATTTATAAGATTCTACGAAAATAATATTTTTGATATGTTTTCTTATAGTGCAGAATTATCGAAAGTATCCGTACGCGTTCGTTCCTCTTATATTTGCGCGATATGTGGCGATAGCTTAGAAATAAGCAATATTGTAATTCATGAAGATTTCAATAAGTGCGTATATTTCAACGATATAGCATTGATAAAGGTATGTATCTTCAATCGCTGAGCAAACATTCAACACATATACGTCATTGGTTTATCGTGCATATGACATTATTATCGTGATAAACTTGTCACATTTATCATTCTCGTAGCTAAAGAATCCCGCAGAGTTCGGAGAAAAGTTGCTTCCTATCGGGCTTCCAGAGAAGGAGAATGAAATCGAAGATGGAACACGTTGTGTCGTTACTGGCTGGAAACCGGTAAATATCGAGTAATACATGCAACTTTAATTTATTTTTAAATTGTCACAAACATTTATGCGCAAGAAAACCGCCGTTTTGTCGTTTGACAGAGTTTCCAGGTGTTACGAAACCTTGAGGAATGGGTAACTCACAGATTGTTCCTCCACGGTGAAACTTTAAACCTTTTATTTTCAAAGTCTTGGTATATATTGTATATATACACATATGTATATGTTATATATATATATATATATATATATATATATATATAAGAGAATGAGATTTTTACGCGAACGCGGATATGCAGATTTTCTACACAATTTTAGCTGACACCGACGTTATTCAAAGTCACGTCGGTACCAAAGTAAATCGTTACGAACACCATCGCAAAACATTCGCACGCGTCCGTAAACCTCGATTTGTCCCGGACCGAAGTTACAATAACGAGAAACGTGTCGTAAAAACGTGCGAGCTGTGCCAAATTTACAGGAGCTCAAACCGGCCAGGATTCAACGGCTCGCAGCGGCCGCTGTGGCGATCATAAATCAACGTACGTGCAAAGAGAGAATGCCGAGCTACAAGCCGTTGTCCAAAGAGATGCTGTGTGCCGTTAACACGACCCACCCGTCGGAAAGGTGTCAGGTAAGATGAACATAAGATGAGGATGACGCGACGCAACTTATGGCGCGAATGATCCGTGAAGGGCTCGTTCGCACGAAACCCTGGGCGACACTCGAGAAAATGTCGACGACACCGAGATGAGACACCTCGACCTCGTCGGCGAGCATCACGATACTTGGCACGCGTGCACAGTGTATATGCATCATCTACGTGTCGGGTACACGTTCTCGAGTGTCCGGTAAAGTATTGCGCGAGATGCTAGAAACTATAACTAGAGAGTGTTCTCTGACAGAAGATATCACGGAGAATAGATAACGAAAAAGTAAGATTTATATGCGATTTGTGTTAATGGTAATTCTCATCTACGTTTATGTTTACATATGCGCGCGAATCTCCAAGCTCACGTTCATAATGATCTCACGGGAAGCAACGGTCGATGGAAAATTCGAGGTGCGTAAATTAAGAGCAGTCAATAGTGGTCGAATTCCAATTGTACACGGCCACGAGTGTACAATTACGTCGATGGAGTCAATAGTCTTTCCGCAAGTATGCGCTGGTTCAGGTGTCGGATGCACCAGATCGGTGAACAATGCGGCACTTGACTCGAGAACGCAATTTTCACGCGCCGCCGATGTACCGCGAGCAAAATGCGAAGAGACTCGCACACGCGCTAGAAAAATTCCATTATTTCGCGATGTGACTATATTCGAAGACCATAGAACAAGAGAGCATTTTTATGTAGACACATTGTATCTCTGTAACGCGAATTGTACTATATTTACAATAAATTTATATAGTGATGTAGTGAAATTTTACACAGATTTTATAAGAGTATTTTAGAGGAAATAACTCCTAAAGTTTTTTATTTCAAATAGATTACCAATAAAAATTATAAAAAATTTTGAGAGATATTTAAAAAGTATTATTTTTTAAAATAAATAAAACTTCAATACGCATAGAAATAAAGGGGATCAATATTTAATCCCCTTTATTTCTATGCGTATTGAAATTTTATTTATTTTAAAAAATGTCCTGAACTTATGTAATAATCTATTGTTGAATATTTTGATAAATGACAATTAAAATGATTGAAGCTTCTAGTGATCAAAACCATCGCGATATTATTGTTTACAGGGTGATCTAGGTGCGCCTCTAGTCTCGGAGCAAACGCTGATTGGCATTCTATCCTATGGATTAGGATGCGAAACCGGGACACATCCGGGAGTCTATACTCGTATCAGCAGCTACTTATCTTGGATCTTTGTGAACTCCGGTATCTATTAGAAGGGCTTAGAGACAGTGTGTAAAATCATTACATCTAATCCCAATTAATTATATACAAATTGGAATGTCACCTATGTAAAAGATTATAATATCTATTAATAAATCAAATTTTGCAAAGTACTTTAAATGCGTACTGATTTTAAAGCACGCAAAGTCTCCGATAATGAAATATCTTTGGCTAGCTTTTTTTTATCTCATCACAGTACTTACGAATTTAATTAAAATAAAGGGTTATATATATTTTATGCATCACATACTATATATATACATATCTCCCCCTAGAAGATAAGAAAGTCACTCGAGTGCAAATAAACAATTACTTTAACTTAATTTTATTATGCGATTTCATCAATATCTGATGCATATTTATAAAGATTTAACGCAGTAGCAACGGACTAGCAATTAATTATTTCGGCCTGCCGCGTGCAGCGTATTTGTTGATAAAGTCCATGAATACAGTACCTCGAGCATGCCATTTAATTTAAGCGCTACCAGTGAATGTTCTGCACTTCCGATTTCAAATGTGACTTAATTGTCATGTTTCGAAACCGAAACTTCCGACATGCCGCGATTGGTCGTTAAATTATCGATATTTTGCGCACGCCAATTAATAGAGAAGAGGTTTATAAAAATTTATACTGTTCTCATTTCCATCTCATTGAGAGCCCGATTGTACAGAATTAATTAGCGATCGTTTAACATTTTTTCAGCGGCTTTATTAAAAGATTAATGATATATTTTTAATCTATTTTCGCGCAATCTCCATTGAGATAAAAAAAGAACGATAAAATTTATTATCTGATAATTACATAGCCGAGATAAAAATGTAAATTACGTTTTACTGTGCTTTTTTATAAAATATAATTAAAAAAAAGTGCACATAAGAATTGTCTGGGACAAATAAATGATTGTATGTATGTATGCATATCTTCTCTTAGTAAAAGATAATTTATCAGTTTGCGAAAATTAACATAAACATTTTTATTTTTTTATAATTGGAAGAGAATCAAAGAGCAGACACTCTGGCTTTTCTTCAATATCTGATTGAGAAATGCCGCGACATACATACCCTATAGTGTACAAATTTTGCACAAACGAACTCCCAAGAGGCACTTCTACTCCTATCAGATGGTCATTTTGCAATGGAACGCCACCATCGTCCTAGAAACAAATGTGTGCACAAAATTCGAAGCGATCGTCTGTGCGTGTTTGTATAGTAATTCTAATCGGTTCTTTATCGTGTCAGAGAATAGCACAGCGATAGAGAATACTCCCTCGGGGATACGGTTGCAGCCCCAAGTCCCTTACAACGATCGCTATATGCAAGCGTAAAAATCGATAGGAGTCGTCGCAATATATTATCCGTTCCTTCCGTTATCCCGCGTAGAGAGAAAAATATCGCCGTCGGAAAGCTCGCCAATTTTCGATCGCGACTGCTCGATATTTAAAACTGTCTGCGTAACGGCATAAGAATAAAAGCACTACGACGAGCGATACTTTTCATCTGTGTGCGGAGATTAATATTTTTTCACAAGCGGATCCTTGCACAACATTTCTCTCTCTTTTTTTCTTCCTCTTTTCCATTCTATCGTCTCGAAGCCAATTCACTGACAAAAACTAGACAGAAGAAAGAAACAAGAGCGTTTCCTCGCTCTTACACTTGTTTATCTATTCGGTATCCATTATTTCTGTCTCGAGAGACGAAAAATTACTTGACAGATGCATATACATACATATATCTCTTTTTCCTTTTAGCCGATGCTTAAGTAAGTATATCTTGAAGATGATTGATCGCAGTCTTTTTATGAACAAAAGCATTGTCTGAAACGAGTAATACTAACATTTTGTGTAATTGATTAACGATCGTGTCGTTGCTTTCTAATGTTCTACAACCGGTAGCATAATATACATGTTACTGAAATTAGTTATACTAAACAATTAGGCAAAACTTAACTTAAATAAATAAATTCTTTAACTGTAATAATTATATTAATATGTAATAATTATATTATGAAAATGCGCCTTCGTTAACGTGATAACTTTGTAAAATTAATTATTATGATACCGGTGACTAGCAAAACGAAGATCTAACAAAATTTATCTTTTTGGCAAGAACAAAATTAACAATAACTTTTAAAAATAATCCTCTAGAGTACTTCAAAGATTATCAATACTAAAATTTAACTATTGACAATTTTATTTGTCTACAAATTTAAAATTGTTATTAAAATTATTTTCTATCTGCTACTTTACTACCTTGCATGTTTATTGCACATATAATATTTATTCTTATTATTTTTGTCATACTTTTATTTATAATTATTATTCTTAATAATTATTATAAATAATTCTATATATATAAAAGAGAAAAAGAGAAAACATATTTATAATATATTTTCTAAAAATCAAATCACTTATAAAGATTGACTATTCGTAATATTAATCACAAATGGATATTCCTAGATGCTTTTCAATTCTCAAGTTTGGTGAATCTAGAGAATCTAGCTCATAGTGCTCGCAAAATGATTTTTTCCGAATAATTTGTACAACACTCAAATGAAAAATTGCACATTGGAATACAAATAAATTTTTAAACTCGTTACTCTTTAAAAATCTTTAAAAGTATTAGACACACTTTTGGAACTTTCTTAATATTCAATCGATATTTTAATAATATATTTTGAAGATTATAATTAAAAATTATAATTGAAGATTATAATTAAAATTGAAAATCTTAATAAGATATTAGAATCATTTATAGTTTCGCAAAAAATGTATGTGAGTATTTCTACTTATACACGTATCTGGATCTGTTATTTGTTATTAAAATTCAATGCAAACGTTAATTTTCATTAAGCGCGCGCTCATTGCAAGTTAATTTTATTTTTTATTTTATACACACTATGACAATCAATGAGAAAAATTGACAAATAGGTCATTATAATAGCATTTTAATTAGATGTGAATTATTTAATCCGCTGTTCTAATGAAAATTTGAATAATTGATTACATAATAATTATTTCACTTGATTGGCAATTATTATAAAATAAAAATATTTTTTAAATAAAGACAAAATAATAAATTAATTTTTCTCACATAAAATAGCATTAAAATTTAATTTATTCTTAATATCATAACTTTATTAGTTGATTAAACACAATAAAGAAAGAAAACTACATTCTCTCATCTTTAGCAAGAGTTTATTTGTGTTTATTTTACTTAATATTGCATTTATTATGAACATTGTAATGTTACTAATGAGCCAGAGTCGAGAATGTGCAAGCAAAATAAAAACATAAATGTCATATTGCATAGCTTAACGCCATGTTTCATTGCAAAATATGGTTGGAGTTTAATAAAACCTAGAAAGTGAAAATATATGCCAATTATAATTATGCGCATCTTGAATGTAATAATATAAATATAAATAATATTACATTATGACCAATATCATAGAGAATTAATTAGAATTTGTATTTATAATTTTATTTTTCACTTTATTATTCTATTTTTTCCCGGTGAGCAAAAAATTATTTTAAAATTTTTGAAGAAAATATATATAGAGAACGGACGAATACTGCAATATAATTTCGACGAAATTGAGAATTAACTCTATTGTGCATATAAATCCTCATACAATCTGCCGTAGAATGTGATATTACATTTTACTGGCGTGAAATTAATTAGTGTAAAAACAGAAATATTCTATTTAAATCGGGTAATACAGTAAAAGCGCGTTTTAATTAATTTTTTGCTTTTAGCTTAAAAAAAAACATTATCTGAATACATGCGTTAATAGAATATTAGTAAAATATGCATCAAATAATAATCCCATAAAATGAAAAATCTGCTGTAAATTTAGATAAACACTGTTTTCCACTCACTATAATATCAATTGCAAAAAATATCTTGTTGCTGGATTATTTTTATCAATATTACGGTTATATACTTATATGGCTGATAATAGCGCGATACATATATGTGTTAATTAAAACACGTTTTAATGATAATAGAGCGTATTACCTGTCTTACACAACTTGATGATTTTTAAGTTGCATCAATTTTAATAAAAATATAATATACATACTAAAGATAATTTCAATAACCATTCTTTAGCCTTCAACATAAATATAAAAAATGTTTTATTATTTGTAACAATTTTAATATGCAACATTAGATAACTCCAATAAACTCTGCAAATTTAAATATTACTTTAAAACTCATCTGAATCTTACTTTTAAAATCTCGTACATATAAAGGTTCTATTATCTATTTGCACTTTCGAAATGGATGCTTACGAAATAGATCTGTCAGACTTGCGATAAGGGACACAAGTATAACTTCGAGAAGTATAACACTAGAATATTTCATATTGTTTGTGTGTCGGACAGTATACATTTCATATATATACAATATATATATACTATGCGTTATACGCTTGATGGAAACTAAGTAAGTATCACGAGTTGGAAATTTCGAACAGATTACAACGAGTTAACCTACGAGAGGAAGTTTACGTATACGAGGCAACATCTACTCAGATTCGCCGAACAGCATCTCTGTAAGTGAGATTGTTGTTTCTCGATTGAACACGATTGGGAGCATGCGATCATTAAATAATTAACTTACTAATTATATACAACGTTATATTCGCTCAGCGATTTCAATTATTGTGCCTATTGTTTTGAATTTTCTCTAGTATCTTTGTATGCCATTACATTATTACACTATTAGATTCTCAAATAAATGTTTAAATTTTAGAAAATAGAAAATTTGATACTATCACAAAGAGTGTTCAAAAGTTACAAACTCTATAAATTTTAGATTAATTATAAATCATATAAAACATATAACATACATATATGAGATATAAATCTCATTTTCTCTATTACTAAGTTAAATAATATACATATATATCTCCGATTTTACATTAATGTGATGAATGTGCTACTATATAATTTTAAAATTATAGTGAGTGAATTCTCAAGCTTCAGAAAACAATTCAAGCGACAGCCTCAGGCGAGTGGATTTTAAAAATTCATATTTTTTATACGTTCGCAATTAATATATTGTTATAAGCATACTGTTATTTTACATAGAAATATTGTGCAATGTAAAAAAAATAAAAAATTAGATTATATTGCACTATAAAATTGTTTTGTAAAAATAACAAAAAATTGATTGCTAAAATCGAAATATATTTAAAATGTAAAGCTAATTTAGACAAATATTATAAACGTGATCTATTAAGCAAAAACTGTTCAAATGAAAGATAATTATAAAACATGCGAATAATGCTGTTATATCTTAAGTGCACATTTAAATAAAATATATTATCAAATATTTAATTTCATATCTAAAAATAATTTTATTTCCCATTATTTCCGATTATATATCAATAATTAAACGAAACATTCGAAAATGCATCTTATGAATGATTTCTAAGAATATCAATGTATATCATATCTTGATATCACAGTGTCATTTGTCTTATCGCGATTAATCGTGAATCTGTGAACTGATTTTCGAATAAACATGTTAGTAACCAAGTCGCCGTAACGATCGTAGCCATGCTGATTATATTCTGTTTGACATTAATAGTTTCCGCCTCGTGTTTAGAATCTAGAATAATCGGAGGTATATCTACAACTATCGATAAGTATCCATACCAGGTCAGTTCACGATTAAACACGATTCTCTAATTATCACATTGCTCAATACTCAACTAAAATTGGAAAAATTTGTTACAACTAAATATTAGTGTTTATTATTAGATATTATTAAAAAGACAATTTTCTAACAAATAAATAATTATTTTTTATATATGTGTTATTGTCTTATTATTTTTAATAGGTTTCTCTCCATTATAATGGTAAACTTATATGCGGGGGTTCGATAATTAGCAAACAATGGATCTTAACAGCAGCACACTGCGTTTATGGGTATGTGTCAATTTGTTGTTCTTAATACATAATCACTTTTACACATATATAAAACAATATTCGCAAATACATATAGAGATAAAAAGAAAAGAAACTCAGATTAGATAATATAGTTTACGTATTTATATCACAAGAATCATTAGATCTATTAAATGTG